GGATTTGTATGGACAAAGATGTATAGCTTTCGAACAAAAGTTTGTTTAAAAGTTATCGCCAAGAAAGTCTGCTAAAGTACCTGTCATTGTGGTGAATCGGTATATGCTGTGCTAGTCAACTTGTGAAGTTAATTATCCAAGAAAGGAACTGCTTCCTAGCTCGTTTAATTTTAATCCCATGACTTACTAAATCCAAGGTGATTGATAATGGTATGTTCTTCTAAAAAGACAAGGAAAGAACGGAAATGCTTTCAAATTAAAAAAACCTTATGCTTTATGACTGGTCACGTGAATGTTGAGACAGAGGACGCAGAACACCAATCATATACTCACAGATAAAAGCATGTATTTATAACCACATTAATAACGTTTATATTAAAAAATTATTAATTATATCATAATATTATTACATTTATAACCACGTTATTATATATATATATATATATATATATATATATATATATATATATATATATATTGATATATATATTGATATATTGATATATTCAAAAAGTAAAATATGTTTGAAATCAATCATTTACTTTGTATTAAAAAAATAACATGACCATATATAAAGATGTCTTCTTCGCAAATACAGAATCAAGTCTACAGAATAAAACATTTATTCATATGTTACGTCGTTTATAACAAATTTAAACATCTTCAGTCTTCAAGTACGAACGTAGATCAACATTGTTTCGAGTTACAGAGAAGCATCGCGCTATACCGTAGCATCTCTCTGTGGTATAACGTGGGCTTTAACAGGCAGGGTTGGCGGAAACGCTTCTTCTAGGTCAGTTTGTTTTGCTTGTAACGAAAAACAGAAAAGACGATTGTAGATAAGTGGGTAGAGGCACCGAGATTTATAGTAGGGGTCACATGTTGGATTCCGAGAGAGGGTGGGGCGGACACTTGCAGGAACTCGGGCTTGGCTTCTGTACTGTCTGGGTGATAACACGGAGTCTGGCAACAAGCCGCTGAACCAGTATCAAATGATACATTTATGTTCAAACAAGTATAAATATCATTAGTTGCATAATAATCGGAATTACGGGGATGATTAATATGTTTTCTCATTTTATTTCATTTTAAGTCAAAGTGTTTTTCCTTGCCAATGCATAAATTTGTATTTTTCATGTATGTTCATTTTGTCATCCATGTGTAGCTGTACATATTCTCGTGTGTTGTTCTACCTATAATGCATGTGCGGCTTTAAACAACAAACAAACCAAAAAACCTATAATGCATACCTTTGAATTTCACTAACTATTACCGTGAACATCACATTATTGAGGAATGCAGTGGACTAGCTCATACAAATATACATTTAAATCGAACATGTATTTTCAGAAATACACTTAATATACGTGTTTTTCTTTATCACACATTGTAAAAAAATGGTCATTGCAATACAAATTGTCATTTCGGCGCTGAGGTTATATTCTACCGCCAACCGAAAAATGTCTCTCGTCCGACATCCAGAGTTTGATCACAGCGCGTATCTACCTTCTGTTCACGTTTCTGAATAGCAAGTATATAAATGTCCGATTATCCAAGCAAAGGTAACCATAATCGTTTGTGTCCCCACTTGTAGTACAACACGCGTCCATTCCCTATCTGAGCACTGATATTGATGGGAGTCCGGTCTTTTGTACTGTCATGGTGGATTTGTCACTGTAGCTTTGTCCCGTCCATTCAATCTTATTTGCCAACATCATAATGGCGGCGCAGTAACAGGTTAAGTCATGAATGGAGTATTGTGATCAACGCTAACACCTAGGAACGCCACACACGCTGAAAATCTGAACATTTTTCATTATAACATCCCTCTGCATAAATCAAATTCAACAAAATATGAAGCATGCATATTGATGAAACAAGTTTAAAGGAGGTGGTTATCATAGGAGGAATAAATAATGTTTCCCTAAACGCCATGAATTGATGTAAACAGATCATAAGTTACATACATTTTTGCATTTTGTATTAAATCTCCTCTTTTTGTCATCTTCAGTTGCAAATAGTTTATTTCATTTGCTTTAATATTTATTATATATGTCACATTACATTTTATACGACTAATGCAATACAAAATGTTGTTGCAGAATAAAAAAAAATGATTGTATGATTTCAGATTACTGAAAGGGCCATGTCACAATGGTTAATGTTTTTCATCTTCAAGCACGGGTCAAAACAAATTACTTTGATCTTTATCAATGAAATCCCACGTGTGTTATGTCGTACATTCGACAGTTAATGATAAAAGTAGTAAATGCCGAAAAAGGATAAAAAATCAACGCCACTGGGCGATTTCATTGCCTTTTAATTGGAAATGTTTTAGCCACTGACAATGCCAATAACGAAACCTAGATGTACACTTTAGATGAAACACGGCAAAATTCAGCAAACCATGTCTGTTTTACACATGAAATCCCTTCTTTGAAAGCGCGGCGTTAACACTGGGGCGAGGAGAGATATGATCTACAATGATTAGAGCATAGGGAGGAACCGTGCTTATAATGGATATTACTCACACATGCTTCATCGACCTATTGTTCTGTCACGTTAACAAACGCAGTGTGATAATAAGCTGTATCCACGCCCTTATCTGTCAAAGCCATACTATAAATATCCTCGCCTTTCAACCACGACACGCTTTATCTTCCGGTAACAATTTGTGTTGTCTAACTACAATAATAATCAAAGTTAAAAGCATATTTATCCACTCGTGAAGCAAAACCTGTGTTACTCTTGCTAAAACGTTTACTTGCATCGTTGACCTTGGTCTGTCAGGACTTCATGGCTGTATTACCTACTGTCATCATTAATATATATTTCGAATATCATTAATGGACCGGGGTTTGGTTTGAATGCTAATCCTGGTCGACTTTGCTTTCAATAAGTTTAAATGACAACGGATTCGACAAGGTTAAGATGAGGAATTAGTTAAGGTTCGAGGTCATCCAAAATGAGATTCAACAAGCATCACTGGGTGGAGAATGGGTTACTTCTAGCAATATAGAAGCAGGGGGTATGTTGTCAGATTTAAACCCAGCAAGTGGGACTATCGATCAAGTAACCCTGACAAGCAAAGATTAATGCCCGCTTGAGACAGAAACAAAAACGCAATGCAATTGTCTCCAACAATCCAGTGCCATATTTCAGAAAACCATTCCCCGTTCCATGTGAAACAGTCAGTGATCCATGGTGTAGAAAAGATTGATCATAACGGGGACTATGCCAGGGTTTGTGCTGTGGTCTGCGGGGGACCTGTGATTGATGTATCGTGTCAGGACCAGCCAGCCGCGACGCAGACCTGTTTGTCCAGGAATCAGAGCCACTGATTTGTGATGTTGGTGATAGCCAGTTGTCTCAGGGACGATGTCGTGCACAACGGCCATACTCTCATGTCAGGTGCTCGTCGTTGGTCTCGCGAGAGTTGTCTGTCAGACTTAGTTAAACCGCCACTCGGCGTGGCTTGGATCAGTCTCGAAGCAGATTGTCGAGTGATTAATGACATGTCTCTTCAGTGCCAACGCGACATATTATTTTGATCGACTTTCCTCAGATCGAGACCTTCTTTCAATTTGGTGCTGTCTGTGTTTGGAGTTATGAATTATTAAGTACTTCAATATCATGAACTGTGATTAGAATTGAAATTTACACAATATCAACGTGAATAAACAGCGACTGCAGATTGAAGTAATTATGACCGCACATTTTCATTGTAATTTCTTTCTCTAACTTTGAAATAACAAGAGGATTCACGCAGCATAAGTTCCTCGTGGATGTTTTTGGTTTGGGAATCATCAGCTTGTCTTGTCTAGGTTACTATGAACTCCCAGCAGCGTATTCCTGTGATAATTTTGAAATCATACACAAACACGCTGTCGTTTGTCCAACGTGTGTTTCGACGTATGTGTGTCTCTCGCTCATACATACTAGAAGCAATAAGTTCAGATCAATAGATTAGGAATACAACGAAATTAATATGATTCACTGCAATTGCATAAAACAGAACGACATTTTGTTATTTTGCTATATTTAAGAGGAGAATTGTAACCTCCCGCATGTATTTGTATTATGTATTTATTTAACACCCACGTTACTGTAGTCCTTCTACATTCAACTGACATGTCGTCATATAACTGTGCCTTAAAAACAACTCTTGGTATCGTTACTATTTGATAGTGATTCATAAACACATGCTCGTGATATAGAAGGAATCGTACATTCGACTCGGCTTTATGCAGAGATTTCTATTGGACATTGAAAGGGTTTTGTACTTTAACTGTATAAAAAGCCAGAGACGAAAGAATGGGTAAAACATGTGACTATGGACATGTAGAAGTGAGTATCAAAGTTATGCTTGTTTGTGAGGCTTATGCAGATCTATGTCAAATTTACATACATTCCACCTATATACATTCCACCTTACAGAAGTATAATATGCTAGTGTTTGTTAATAACATCGAAATTGTTAACATCTGACTGACTGACTGATGGCGGTGGTGATGATGATGATGATGATGATGATGATGATGATGATAACTAAGACCTACACCAACATGGAGTGCGTGAAGTCTCCAAGATGTATCAACGAACATTCCGTACCTGTCTTCCTCCCGTGTTGGGGGGTGGGGGTGGGGTGGGGTGGGGGATGGGGTGGGGAGGGCGTTTGATGGCTTTAAGGACTTATTTCCTAGCTTTTGCCCAAGTAATTGGTGTTCCTTGGAAGAAAGGTGTTGACATTGCCATCACACGTTCTGCAAGGCGAACCTTCTGTGCCGTGCTTTGTTATCACGTAACAGTGCTATGTTTTACCTGAACATTTGTTTTTTGTGTATGTTCCCAGTATATGATGATGATGATGATGACGATGATGATGATGATGATGATGATGATGATGATGATGTCTTTCTTACTGACTGATGGTTGTGGTGGTTATCATGATAACTGTCTTTCTTTGTTCTTTTTGTTATATTTATACTGTTCTGTTTCAGCAGGGACCTGGTCGAGGAGAACATGAAACAGGCGATGCACCAGATGTGCAACATGAACCAGCCAATGATGACGCACGACTACGGCCACCGGGATTTCAATCTGTCCATGCCCTTGGTCAAGTCGGAGCCCATCCCACCCCACTACCTCTGTTCGCCACCCATGGACCACCACCATCACCACCTGCACCACTCCGTGCCCCCCGTTTGACAGTGGGCCAATCCGGGAATGGACTCGACCTGTTGGTAGCAGACGACATGCTGACGAGTTGTGGTATAACTGCCATGTTACCTGTGCTTGAGTCCAATCCTGGAGAGGGTGTGCTTCATCCCAGATCGGGAAAGGATGTGCTTTGGACCAGTCCTGGAAAGGATGTGAGCCCCATCGTTGTGGGAGGGTATTTTGCGCCATAATGAGCTGACTCGGTCTCCAGTATTTAATTCAGTTGATTCATCAGCTTTCTGACCTCTAGTTTGCTCTAGACAAAAACTGCTATGTAGGATTGTCCTTTGTAAACTGAGGACATCCGATATACGCCGTTGGTTTGAAACTAAGACCTACACCAACAATAGTGCGTGAAGTCTCCAAGATGTATCAACGAACATTCCGTACCTGTCTTCCTCCCGTGTTGGGGGTGACGTTTGATGGCTTTAAGGACTTATTTCCTAGCTTTTGTCCAAGTAATTGGTGTTCCTTGGAAGAAAGGTGTTGACATTGCCATCACACGTTCTGCAAGGCGAACCTTCTGTGCCGTGCTTTGTTATCACGTAACAGTGCTATGTTTTATCTGAACATTTGTTTTTTTGTATGTTCCCAGTATGCTGTGATGATGATGATGATGATGATGATGATGGGAGAGTCTTAAGAAACATGTATGCGAGAGTGAATGATGTCGACAACTAAAGCCCACTGCTCTTGGTACAACTAATTGAGTAGTTTCGGTGTGGATGAGAGGTACCATAGTGTACGGGGGTAAAAAATAATTCTGAATGAACGCAGTACCATACGTAAATTGTTGACCAATATGACCTGGACACTGCCACTAACAGGTCATCTCCACTGGGTATCACACTGTTTATCGAACTGTACATGCACAGCGTCAATGTTAACGTTTAAAATTTAGTATCATTAAATAGACTGTAGGTTCCATAATGTGTCTAGCCTTTCGCCTGAAGAAAGAAAGTAAGTAAAATATGAGATATATATTTCAGTAGTCTGGGATTAATGTAAAATTACATGACTGTGCTACTTGAAATAAGTTATTTATTTAAACAAACCCCCAGGCCTTCTGTTCACTTGTTTAAGGATTGTTTTTGTAACATCATAGGATTGAAAGACAGAAATACATACACATAAAGAAATGCGTGGAGAGTTTCAACAGTATTTTGGTAATTCGAATCAGGGGGAGCTTTTCCATTGAGTGACAAGTTAACAAGGATGTTCCCTTCTTTTAACGCTCTTCTTTGGGATTGTTTTTATCTTTCAATACAAAGATTCCAAAACAAAGATTGTCCTTAAGATTTTAATTCTATTTCATATTTTAAATAATTGTTAGGTGTAATCCCTGAACCAAGTAATTAGCAAAACATGTCCAAATGTTACCAAGTTTTATGACGGCGTTATGGCCACTCTCAGAGAAAGTATATGTACATTGTTCTGGTCAGTGGGAGCTACGTGTGGAGCTAGCGTACATCGTGTAATGTATATAATGTAAGACAATATACAGAGTTCTCGCTTTGTCATGATGTATACAGTGTGTCAACAATTGTTTAAAGATTATTCGAATTAATGTTCTGAATTTCCTATTACAAAGTAATTTATATTTTACAGCATGCTTTAACTTATGTCACATCTTTCTATGTCAGATGGATAATTCCTTAGAGACATTATTGCATCCTATGTTTTCTGGAATCAGAATAAAACGTGTTATGTTTCCTCACTACCGTGTAGTTGATAATTCCCATTTCGTGTTTTAAGTTTTACACCACATAATGCTGTTTCTCTGGGAAACTACCAAGCACGGGCGCTGTTGGTCCTTATGCCATACTCAACAGTGTTTCCGGAATCGAGATAGAGAGCTGCCGAAACATCGGGTCTGGAACCGTTCCACAAAGCAATGACTCTGCGATTATCGTAAGTCTGGAAGTTAAACATGAAAGTAGCTCAAAGACTGATGTGCAGAAGGGTTCTGAACCCAAATCGTTAATCCCTGATCCCCAAGTCAAGTACAGTAGTACTCAGATAGCAAAACGAGAGACGTACACATTTTTGCATCTGTTTTATTGTCAATATGTATCAATTTTTTTCTCTTAGTGTTAAACCTCTTGGTATTTTTAAAGGTTTAATGACGTCACTGCCCATTGCTGTAAGTGCACTTCTCGAGGCTCAAGTCTCTGATTATTGTCCTAATGTATTTTCACAAAAGTGCTAAATTGATTCTTTAATCTTCAGCAGCACGATGTGCCATGCCCTTAAGGTTTTTGATCTGTGTTGCTTATGATCCTGATTCCGTACCACAAAGCGTTGGCTGCAGCACATCGAATTTAAAACATATGAGTTACAGCAGTTACAGCAGATTTTCAGCAGCCATAGCTCTATTATCGCTCTGTGGAACGGACTCCAGGTGCTAACGACTCAGATACAAAGGTTACACACATGCGTCAATGCAGTAGACATTGTGGCCGCGACCTTCAGAGGGATTCTGGGATATCCCCGTCGATCTCAAAGTGTATATCTAAAGGTGTTTATATAATGTAAACGAGAAGTTCCTCTCAGACAATGGACGTATATCTAACAGAGTTAAGTGCCCTTACCTCCGAGTGTTGAGTCGCTGGGCGCTGACAAAGTTTAATCTATTTTTCCATTTTTTTTATGTTTGTTATATTCTTTATTTCTCGTAAAACATGAATATCGATTATGTGTGAGTGAGTAAGACGTTCATGGTTTCCACATGTTACCGTATATTCGTGTTCATTTTATATGTGCAATCATGTCCGAAAATAAACAAATGATAAAACAGCTCTTGGTATTCGTTATATTGTTATGCTATGCTATATTGATACACAGTTATTGTACACGATTTGACATCACATATTGCACATACTATACCTTTCGGGAATCGAACCTGGCTTCCCGGCGAGACAAGCAAACGTTTTAACCACTGGGCTACCCGACGGCCCTAGGTTGAGCAATGTTATATGTCTAGTCAACGCCATCAATAAGTCATGGTTCCGCAACAAGTCATGGCCCTTGGTGTCTACATTTCACTTTTGAGGTACAATCGGGCATGCACCTGTGACAAGAATGATGTCCGATGCAAGTCCCTATTTTGACTTTCACCATACGTTCCCGTGTTTTTTCATATGCACAATTGTCTTGAGTTTGCATGTGTTTGTGACCGATGCCACCGCTGGAGCAGGATACGCTCACCTTTCCGCGACCACCTGGTATCATCACTATTTGATGGTTGTTCATAAACACATGCTTATGATATAGTACAATTGTACAATCGACCTTGCTTTTGGCAGAGATTTCTTATGAATGTAAAAGGGTTTCGTCGCTTTTGGTTATCATCATATGAAAACAAGGCCGATGCTGCCGTGTATTATAAGGTGAACAATTAGCATGCTTTTGCATGTGTATCCGAGAAGGTTAACAATATGTTGTGCCTGTAGTTGTGCCTGTAGTTGTGCCTGGTGGAGCACCTGGACACCTGCGACTTCTGTTGTGTGGACAAGGCCAATACTGACAGGTGCACTGATCGAGCCGTGCACATCAATGTGCTGTTAGAGCTACAATTAGCCATATTAACAAAACCTTCTTGTGATAGACATATCTATCCGCAAAGACGGGCTGATTTTCATTATCGCTATGCGACCGGGCCCAGGCCCAGTCCTACGCTTTGAACATGGCCCTCCACAGAAGCTACCATTTCGCAGAAATCCTGCTTGTTCGTGAAATGTAAGGATACTATGTTTAACATCACGTTATTCTCACCTCATGCCCTGACAGAGCTGTGATTTGCATATATATTGATACTCAATTATGATCGTCAGTTCGATGTTGTACTCTTTTGTATTCCGTGGTTCGATGTTGTACTCTGTTGTATTCCGTGGTTCGATGTTGTACTCTGTTGTATTCCGTAGTTCGATGTTGTACTCTATAATATCATCTTTTTCTCTGTTGTATCAAGTTGTACCCTGATGTTCAATGCTGTACTTGCTTGCACTATGTTGCACTCTGATGTTCAATGTTGTTACCCATAATGCACACACATACGCATAGTCGCACACACACACAGACAGACAGACACACACACGCACGCACGCATACACACGCCTACACTATACATACGGCACACACTAGAACAATTGTACTCATGAACCAACCGTTCGCCAGCAACATCATTGGTATGATACCCACTCATGAAACAAACCAACTTCCGTCAACATCACGGATATATTATTTCCCTTGCGTAACAAACCCATCACTTCCAAGATATCAAAAAGATATTTTGAATATTTATTCAACGAAAAGTATTACAATATTAAATCTCTGACAAGTTACTAGTTAGACACAGACTAAATACAGCTCCCCGCAGATGTAACATCCGACTGCGTGCCCGTGTCATTGTCACACCTGGCGCTCCACCAGTCACACCTAATCTCTGTCACCTCCGATCACTGACACAGACGGCCACTGACTTACACAACCTCCAAGACACACATCCACTCTCACAATCTACCACTGACATACACAACCTCCATGAGGCACATCCACTCTCACAATCTACCACTGACATACACAACCTCCTTGAGGCACATCCACTCTCACACTCGACCACTGGCATACACAACCTCCATGAGGCACATCCACTCTCACACTCGACCACTGACATACACAACCTCCATGTCACACATCCACTCACACACTCGACCACTGACATACACAACCTCCATGAGGCACATCCACTCTCACACTCGACCACTGACATACACAACCTCCTTGAGGCACATCCACTCTCACACTCGACCACTGACATACACAACCTCCATCAGGCACATCCACTCTCACACTCGACCACTGACATACACAACCTCCATGAGGCACATCCTCTCTCACACTCTACCACTGACATGCACAACCTCCTTGAGGCACATCCACTCTCACACTCGACCACTGACATACACAACCTCCATGTGACACATCCACTCTCACACTCGACCACTGACATACACATTCTCCATGTCACACATCCACTCTCACACTCGACCACTGACATACACAACCTCCATGACACACATCAACTCTCACACTCGACCACTGACATACACATTCTCCGTGACACACATCCTTTCTCACACTCGACCACTGACATACACATTCTCCATATCACACATCAACTCTCACACTCAACCACTGACATACACAACCTCCATGTCACACATCAACTCTCACACTCAACCACTGACATACACAACCTCCATGTCACACATCAACTCTCACACTCGACCACTGACATACACATTCTCCATGTCACACATCCACTCTCACACTCGACCACTGACATACACAACCTCCATGACACACATCAACTCTCACACTCGACCACTGACATACACAACCTCCATGTCACACATCCACTCTCACACTCGACCACTGACATACACATTCTCCATGTCACACATCCACTGTCACGCTCGACCACTGACATACACATTCTCCATGTCACACATCCACTCTCACACTCGACCACTGACATACACAACCTCCATGTCACACATCCACTCTCACACTCGACCACTGACATACACATTCTCCATGTCACACATCCACTGTCACGCTCGACCACTGACATACACATTCTCCATGTCACACATCAACTCTCACACTCGATCACTGACATACACAACCTCCATGAGGCACATCCACTCTCACACTCGACCACTAACATACACAACCTCCATGTCACACATCCACTCTCACACTCGACCACTGACATACACATTCTCCATGTCACACTCGACCACTGACATCCACTGTCACGCAGGACCACTGACTTACACATTCTCCATGTCACACATCCACTCTCACACTCGACCACTGACATACACATTCTCCATGTCACACATCAACTCTCACACTCGACCACTGACATACACAACCTCCATGACACACATCAACTAACACACTCGACCACTGACATACACATTCTCCATGTCACACATCAACTCTCACACTCAACCACTGACATACACAACCTCCATGACACACATCAACTCTCACACTCGACCACTGACATACACATTCTCCATGTCACACATCAACTCTCACACTCAACCACTGACATACACAACCTCCATGTTACATATCCACTCACACACTCGACCACTGACATACACATTCTCCATGTCACACATCAACTCTCACACTCAACCACTGACATACACAACCTCCATGTTACATATCCACTCACACACTCGACCACTGACATACACAACCTCCATATCACACATCCACTCTCACACTCGACCACTGACATACACAACCTCCATGTTACATATCCACTCACACACTCGACCACTGACATACACATTCTCCATGTCACACATCCACTCTCACACTCAACCACTGACATACACAACCTCCATGTCACACATCAACTCTCACACTCGACCACTGACATACACAACCTCCATGACACACATCAACTCTCACACTCGACCACTGACATACACATTCTCCATGTCACACATCAACTCTCACACTCAACCACTGACATACACATTCTCCATATCACACATCCACTCTCACACTCGACCACTGACATACACATTCTCCATGTCACACATCCTTTCTCACACTCGACCACTGACATACACAACCTCAATGACACTCATCAACTCTCACACTCGACCACTGACATACACATTCTCCATGTTACATATCCACTCACACACTCGACCACTGACATACACAACCACCGTGACACACATCCTTTCTCACACTCGACCACTGACATACACATTCTCCATGTCACACATCCACTCTCACACTCGACCACTGACATACACATTCTCCATATCACACATCCACTCTCACACTCGACCACTGACATACACATTCTCCATGTCACACATCCTTTCTCACACTCGACCACTGACATACACAACCTCCATGACACTCATCAACTCTCACACTCGACCACTGACATACACATTCTCCATGTCACACATCCACTCTCACACTCGACCACTGACATACACATTCTCCATGTCACACATCCACTCTCACACTCGACCACTGACATACACAACCTCCATGACACACATCAACTCTCACACTCAACCACTGACATACACAACCTCCATGTTACATATCCACTCACACACTCGACCACTGACATACACAACCTCCATGTGACACACATCCTTTCTCACACTCGACCACTGACATACACATTCTCCATGTCACACATCCACTCTCACACTCGACCACTGACATACACAACCTCCGTGACACACATCCACTCTCAGTCTCGACCACTGACATACACATTCTCCATGTCACACATCCACTCTCACACTCGACCACTGACATACACAACCTCCATGACACACATCAACTCTCACACTCGACCACTGACATACACATTCTCCATGTCACACATCCACTCTCACACTCGACCACTGACATACACAACCTCCATGACACACATCCACTCACACACTCGACCACTGACATACACAACCTCCATGTCACACATCCACTGTCACACTCGACCACTGACATACACAACCTCCATGACACACATCCACTCTCACACTCGACCACTGACATACACAACCTCCATGTTACATATCCACTCACACACTCGACCACTGACATACACATTCTCCATGTCACACATCAACTAACACACTCGACCACTGACATACACAACCTTCTTGACACACATCCACTCCCACACTCGACCACTGACATACACAACCTCCATGTCACACATCCACTGTCACACT